GCTCGCTACATTCAAGGGTATAATATCAGGTGGTTCGTGTTCAAAGACAATTTCAAACTCCCTCTGCCTCATGTCACCCTCGTATCTTGCCCTTGACATTTTAAGCTCTACCTCACAGTGCCTCATACTCGAGTTTTCCATGGTAACGAACCGATCCGTCATCCTCCAGTCAAAAAGCCAACGTTCAACTAGCCAACGATATCTTTTATCATGTCCAGCTCTCTCGAATGTCCAGCTCCCTCGAGATCACTAGATTCTCGAATGTTCCCCTCGTGTTGAATCTAATCTCAAATTGATCGTCGTCGACGAATCTGTCAGAGATTCGAACCAAGTTCTTCCGGTTCGTGTACCGCGCGTCGATCGCCAACGGCCTTAACGATTCTCCCGTTCGCGACGTAACAACAGATCAGTGTGTCAACTTCAACGCCGACCCGATCATAGAGGAGAAATCGCGTCTCTCGTCGACGATATTGGCCAGCGGGCATGTTTACCAGGACGTTGTAAGTGTATTCCGGGATACGCACGCGGCTGAAACGGCAAGGAGCTGGTTAAAATCCAATCGTCAGAGTAGATCACACGTGCCGATAGGACGCCTTTGATTCCCTGTTTGTCTGCCTGTTCATTTACCCGCGGCGTTTGCGCTCATTTATCGCGCAATCGATGCTCACCCTCGACTCGAGCAGCACCCGCTAATTCAAACTCCGATTAATCGCTATCGTCGATCGTAATCGCTTCCGTACGAAACTACCCCGCCGCGACCCAGGCGATTCGCTTGCAATTTATTTAAAGGAAAGTGGGACAGTGTGACAGGCAAAATTATACTTCGGAGGATTGGTGAAACAAAAAAAAAAGTACATATTTGATTATTGACACGAGTCTTTGTTACTAAAAGAGAAAAGCTTTTTAATTGTAAGCTTTTTAATATTGAAAGGGGAGGGGGGGGGGGAGGGAGAGAGGGCTCTTATTTAAGTTTTCAACGGCAGCCTTTTACTTTATGTAACTTTTTCTCTTTATATTGCCTATCGGCGTGCATAATTCCAGCCAAGAAATATTCGGTAGGGATCCAGCATTTTCATTTTTCTGAAAATTGTTTTTTTTTTTTTTTTTTGAAATTGTTAAAAATCAAAAAATCGTTCGATCGCCAATCCCTAGTAAATGTTACACCAAAGATACGTACCAAGTTTCATAGTAATCGATCGGTTAGATTCCGAGGCATCTTGCACGACGTTTCCGAAAACCTAAAAAGTTCCGAGTGAAGCTTCAGAATTTCATTTTTCATATCCTTTGCCATATGTTTTTCACTTATACGTCGCGGTTCGCGGTTCTTACAATTCACAATTAAATTGAATCCAAGTCCCCTAACATTCGACTCGCCAAAAGTAATATTTGAATCACACGATTTACACTTAAATTGAATCCAAGTCCCCTAACATTCGATTCGTCAAAAGTAATATTTGAATCACACGATTTACACTTAAATTGAATCCAAGTCCCCTAACATTCGATTCACCAAAAAAATAATATTTGAATCATACGATTTACACTTTACTAATACTGCTGTAAACAGTGATAGAAATTCGATTATTATTTCGTATCTGCGGATTCGTTATTATACCCGAAAATAAGTCGTTCTAAAGGCTAGGATCTTTTGTATCTTATTTCCAACAAAAAAAAAGCCGATTTTTTTTTGAAATTTTTGACGGTTTTTCGAATTATTTCGAATTATTTATTATTTCCGAATTACTTACGATATTACATTTTTCGAAGCACGAAAAATTTTTTTGTTACTTAACGCAGCTCGATAACGAGAGGTATATTTGATATAACGATGAAATTCCAAGCACCGATGGATGAATTTGCATGATAACGTATGATATGTAGGCACGAATTCAACACGAGAAATATGATTTTAAATGAGAAATTTTTGGCTCGTTTGCCAAACAGCAAAAGCCGCGTTTTTTCCTCCGTGAAACGAGTGAAAAGAGATATCAAATTCAAAAATAACAATTTCTAATTCCAAGTCATACGTTATTCGCCGAGGTTTTGTAAACTGATCGAGCGTAACACACATGGAACAAAAAGCACGGATTAATTACTTCCGAGAATAAAAAGCCCATGTTCGAACGAGGCAAAGCAAAAGCAGATTAATTACAGAGAACCAGAGTTGATCATGGGAAATACGTTCTTTGTTTATTTTCATAATCCCCTGTTTTTTCAATGAATCCCGCCAAAGTGAGAATGAATTGCCACGCGAAAGAAAATATTATTTCACGAAAAACAAGGGCGGCTTTGATATCACTTTTGCCCTTCGTTCGTATATTCCCTTCTCCATCAGGGGATGATATTCTTTCACATAAACTGTTGTTTCCAGCGAGATAGTACGTCATAACAATCCAACATACATTTATAACAATTCTAACGAACGGAACAATACAGAATGTCTGGTCAAAGAAACAGAGTAATGAGGTAAAAGAGAAGGAATGATCATTATCACGTTCGAAAGATTACTTTTGCAAACGAGAAGCTATTTGATGGTGTGGGTGAAAGATGAGATGACATTAATTCTTTGTTTAATTGAGCAGAAGATAAGTATAATTTGTCAGACCCAACGACCCGTTTCTTTCATCCGTTATTTAAATGTGAAACATTATTTTCGAAGATGTATCTTAAAGGGCAATGAAACGAGAAACGTGTATTTTTAATTTCCAAAATTTAATACCTAACTTTACATTGTTTTTTTATGTTTCAATTACAATTTAAATAATTAAACTAGCCTGGCTTTGCTCGACCATTAGGATATATTATCAGTTCTCTGTAGGTGGGCAGATTTCTTAAAAATACTCGTACAGCTACAAAATAGATATTAATAGATATTAATTAGGATATATGTATAAAAATAGATATTAAATAGATATTAATTAGGATATATGTATAAAAATAGAATATTAAATAGATATTAATTAGGATATATGTATAAAAATAGAATATTAAATAGATATTAATTAGGATATATGTATAAAAATAGATATTAAATAGATATTAATTAGGATATATGTATATGTATATATATATAAATAATATTTTATGAATGTAAAAAGTAATTTTATGAATGTATAAAGAAAGTACACTTTGTACATAAAAAAACAAAAAAAAAATAAAACTCGTTCTGAAATGAAACAGTCTAGTGTAAATTTTCACAGGTAGCCATGAAGGTTCTTGAAAAATAGTTAAAAGACCACTTTGCTTGAACACATCAGTCAAAGACCAAGTGTCGCTTGTTTCGATGACGTTTCATAGGATGGTACAAAGGGAAAGGAAAAAATTCTGTTGTGAAGGGTGAAAGGTTGAAATTTCGCACGCGCATCTGCGTTCCACCACTAGAGGAAATACACACATATAATGGCCCATATATTGCTTTCAATCCGATTAGTACATGAATTATAGTGGCGAAGCTTCCCAAGCGTGCGAAACAAGTAAATTCATCACTCGACACCCCGGCAAATAGCTCAAGCAAATCCGTGATGTGATAATTATCCAATTAACACGTGCCATTTTCAATTTTTTCATCGTTTTTCCGAAAAACGCGTGTGAAGGATTTAAAAACAAGAATTTAATATTTTATTTGATATTGGCGCTGAATCAATAATCGGGAATTTATTAAAATTTAACGAGTTATTCGTTCAACGATGAATTATAGAGACGGGACAATTGATATGAAATAATATTTCAATCTCGATGAAGCGATCGACATTTAAATAAATGAAATAGTTTCTTTCATTGAAAACTGAAAATTGAAATATTCGGGGAAAAATTTCAAATGACCTCACAGCCATCGCAATTATTCTGTCGATAATTTCGAAAATAATCTCTCGAGGGCCTTTCAAATAATCCGCTACGATGTTGACCGTTTCGTTTAAATTTCTGAAAATGCTAATTGCGCAATTGCAATTTTCACTATAGGGAGCAATTAGCAGCGAGAATTGATCTTCGAGAATGATCTCGACGTAATTTCGAGATGAAAAATACTATGAAACGATAATCAGACGGCCTACTTTAACTTGATAAATCAATGTAATGAAAATCGATGTAATGAAATTAGTCATAGCCGCTGTCAAACGTTCAAGAAAACTCGTACTAATTAATGAAACTTGCGACTAAAAAGCGTGTAGAGAACAGAAAAATGTCCTCTGTCCGATTCAGAAGAATCCAGAAACTATGGAAACTGAAATCAAGCATGCGAGATGATACAGAAGGAACCGCGATCCGCGCGGAAGTAGTTGTTAATGAAATTGTTTTCAAGGAGATAGTAGTAATGAGATCGAGTTATCTGTCATATAAAGAGGAGACGGAACATGGTCATCGGTAGAAACTGTCAAAGATGCTGATAACAATTCTACTATTTTTTTCTGGGTACTGGGGCGCTAGATAATAAGATCCTTGCTTCTTTCCGTCGATTCCGATCGTTTCGCCATTGAAGTGGAACGCGCTTTTAACGCAATCTTTGTTTCCCATTCATTAATTGGATTAATTTATAATATCACTTAAATCAACAATTTTCGAAACACCTTCATTGAATCGATTATTTTATAAATAAAAGTTTCCCCGAGAGAAATAAAACTCCACTTTCTTTATTTGATCTGATTTGAATAGCTGCGGGCTAGATGAAAAAAAAATTGCAACGTGCGTATGAAATTTCATCTCGTCGTTTTTTTTTTCTTTTTCATAAAAATGTAGATTCTACGAAATTTTGATCTTATTTTCTTGAAAAGTTATATTTAGAAGACTTCCAATTTTAATTGTAACCTTCAGTTGAAGTTGAATTTAGAAAACAGTTGACTTTGATTTTTAGTCTTAATAGCGTTTTTTTATTTAGAAGAATTTCAATTTCAACTCTGTAACTTTCAAAAGGTTGGATTTAGAAAAAAAATGTTTTTCAGGGAAGAATTTTCCGGGAAGTTCGGTGGGAAGTGTCGCGAATGAAGTGTTGAAGTCGGGCGAGATACAAAGGAAACGTTACTTTATTATTTACAGAATCAAATGAATCGGCACATTTATCAGCACTATTTACAACATTATAGTGATACGATGAATTTTTTATCGAGGGCGTCGATTCGAATCTTTCGTGTGACTCGATTAAACCTCCAACGACAGGTGATCCTCCATTGAATTTTCTATCAGCCACCTTCCAATGAACATGCTAGCCGGCTCGGAATCCCTCACCTCAGGCGGTTCGCTCGCGGCGGGCAAAATCGATTCTAATCTTACGCTTATGTTCTCGTACAAAGTCGTAATCGTTCCCTCGGACACCTTGCTGGCGGTTATTACATTTGTCGTGCCGGATATGAACTCGGTGGACGTGATTACGATGTGACTCTCCGACGAACTCTGTAACAGAAAATAGTTCTGTTCTAAATAATTCCATTTACGAGTGAATTTCTTATTTTTTAAGAGATACATCCTTAAAATTCTCTAACTTCAAGATACATATATATATATATATTTTTGTTCCCACTAAATTTTCTACATTAAAGTAAGTTTCAATTGCTCGGGAGATGGCAGTAATCATTTTTCTACGAAATGCCAGATTCTACCTAGAGTATCGATTAATTATCAAATTTCCCGAGAACATTGAATTTCTGTTAAAATGAACATCTGTTAAAATTGCCAATTATCGAATTATCGAAATGTTGAAAACGAACCACCAAGCACCAAGATTTCTGATGTTAAATAACAGTCGCAACAATGAAATAAAAGTGATCAACTTCGTTAACAATGAAGTACTCATTATTATGTTACGCGATAATTATTTTTAATTACATCGTTCAATTCCCCCCGAGAATTAAAATCTCTTCAATCGTAATAAAACCAAACACGGTTGTTCACTGTTGCGTAGCCGACACCGTTGACCCAGAATTTAATGCGATATATATGCAGTGACGATAAATATGATGTCAAATGTGTCAAAATATTTGCAATTTACACGCAAAAGAAGAACATGCAATAAAACACGACGGCGTTGCGTATGTTTATAAAATTTTGCATTTCTCGTTGGAATGCTCTCCATAACATTGTTAGATAATACAAGTCTCTGTCGAGAAGTTAATTAAAAAAATTCAGCCACGTCGGCTACTCACAAGCGTGGACATCACGTCGCTGACTTGTCTGACGCTCTCGGCGCTGCCGAAGAAATACGGCACCTTGTGCATGCACATGTGAAGATTCCTGATCTTCCTGATCTGCACTAACTGTCCGTCCTTCAGCTTGTACATCGTTTCCAGAACGTAGTCACGGTTCACGCGTAACTCGCGATCGACCACGTCACGCTCCACCGAGAATATCGTCACGCACTCGCCCTGCGTGAAGTTTTCCATCAGCTCGAACGTTTCGTCATACTCGCCGACCAACGCCCCGATGTTCAATTGCCCGACGATCACCCTGATCATGTCTAGCTCGCGTGGCTGTATGTTCTCGTTCACCACGAGGCTGTCGAGCCCGTACTGGCTGAACCTGATCTCGAATTGTTCCTGATTGAGCTCGTATGCTTCTTGACGCGACACCTCGCTGACAGGAACGGCCGGTGCACCCGGGTCCAGGCTCTCCGTCGCGTAACTGTCCGCCTTCGAGTCGCGAAAGTGACAACTGAGAACGTACAAACCCTTCGGGTTGCACACCAGCTTCGAGGCGACGTTCAGGCGGATGCTCGTGTAGCTACCTTCCTCCGGTATCGCTGTCGAGTTCACCTGAACGTGGAACGTGTATTGCGGCCCGTGCCTCCACGGTGTATCGATGTTCACACGTGCCACTGGCAAACAATTTTCACGGGCAATTAGAGAAAGAGACACGCGTATTTGCGGCCCGTTTGCGGATGAAACTCTGTGTCGCCGCGAATCCAGCCACGTACCGTGGAAATATATCTGTTTTATTGCTCGGCGATCGTTTTGTCACGTATTTTCGAGGGTTCGCGAAGGGTCGCATTGTCGGATTATGCGTGTACACACTGCGAACGAAGGCGAGTACGGGGTCGGTAAAAGCGCAGCTCGCTCGTACTGGTAATAATAATTTCCGGAATATATATATATATATCTGTTGAAAGTATTAAGTATCATTATGAATGAGTAGGACGTATTATTGAAAACGCGTGTGAAGTATTATCGAGCATGAAATATTATGAAAATTGAGTACGAGGTGTTATTAACCGCTCGCGCTGGCAACTGGTTCGCGCGGACCGTAACGAGTGACCGAGAACCGTATACAATAATTCGTCGATATCGCACGTATATCATTCGCTGGAAATTGTCGAGAATTAATAAATTTATTATCTGTTCTGTCTGGATTATACTTAAATATAGTTGAATGTGTTGCGATTATGGGGGAATAAATTCTCGGCATGCGTGGCACGTCATTCCAGCGAAAGAATGAGTATTATCGAGTACAATCTATTATTATTAAGTTATGTGTATGATGTATGAAATATTATGATTTTTAATCAAGTATTATTACGAATGTGCATGAAGTGTGAGATATTGTGATGAATGAATATAAAGTATCACGAAGGATTATTAATATATATATATATATTACACACACACGCACATACGTACACACGTTATTTATGAAGTATATTATTAATGGACGATCAGACGTATGACAAGAACAAAGAACGTTATGTAATATGAAAAATCGTAGTACAGCCGGACAGAGGGTGATTCTCCGTGAAAAAAAACGAGGGAAATATGTGGTACAATTTTTTTCATCCAAGTTCGCCACTTCGTTCTCGAGGAAATTACGCGATTTCCTTATCGTGTATTTTATTGCCGGTTGTCTCTGCTCGTGCCACTGATTATAAACATTGACGATAATGATGGGATACTGTGGAAAATAAATTTGAATCAATAAATTTCTTAAATGAAATGTATAAAGTGTCAGAGACAGATCGCGGCGATAAGATACACTAAACTCCATGGTTTCCGGACCTCACACCACTGGACTTCTAATTGTGGGAACATGTCAGAGAAGAATTTGTCCAATGAAAATATTAACAACATTGTACAGCTAAAGCAAAAAATTCGCCAACTGCTTGAAGAAATAAAAAAATGATAATACGTTACAATCCGTCCATTTATCATTAATTCGTCGAGCACAATTATTTATGCGACGACATTTCCAACAGTAACTTGTAAAGTAATAAACTTTAGACTCGATTTTTTTAAAAAAAACGAAGCCTCGGATGAAAAAAATTGCATAAATTGTTTTTTCCTTACTTTTTTTTTTTAACGATTTTCTAATCCACCCTGCATAAAAGGTCTTTCCGGCCGTCACAGAGGACGAACTTTCTGACGATGAATGAAAAACATGAAATGGAAATATATGCACTCATAAAAAAAATCTATGTGTCTTTCCACACGTTTGATCGTCCGTCGCGTTGTCAAAAACGCACACACACACACATACAACTGTACAAACTGTACATGATCTCAGTAACTGTCCAAATTATCAAAAAAAAAAATGGAAATTCCGAAACTTTTCGTAGACCTTGCCCTGCCAATTATTTCGTTTCTGCAAATACCGAATATTGTTCTCAAATAACATATCAACAACGGTTACGTTATTCCACGATCAAAAGGTATCGACTTTTCGACAGGGCAAAGGAAAGTGATTAGGCCTCGGCCTCTGTTTGGCCCATTTCTCACGCCGATCTGTCTTTCTATCTCGCGCGATCTAGCCGACGGTTCTTCACACACGTGAACGTGAATTGAATGATTGGACCGGCTTGAATAGGATCGATTAGAGCCACGACCCCGATACTCTTATCTTTCGCACCACACGGACGTTCTTTGTACTTTTGACTTTTTTTTTTTTTTTTTTTTTTTGCCGGCGACGCGTAACGCAATAGAGCCCGGATATTTTGCCGACGGTTTTCACGAACAAACACGGACGGGAGAGGCCACGGAGCGGCAAGAAGAATGAAAGGACACGCGAGGGCCCGATCGATTTTTCGCGGCAACAGGACAGAGTTAATCGACACGTGGCGAGACGTGACGAACACCATCGTTCCCCTCTTTTTCTTTCTCTCTCTCTCACTCACTCTCTCTCTCTCTCTCTCTCTCTCTCTCGCATGGCTTACTCAAAAAAAATGGCACTACGTTCAGCAACACTCTCATGGTGACACCGTGCAACGTTCAACTACTTTAGCGGAGTAAAGCGGTGTTGGGGCCGCTCTTATACCGTGGCTAAACTGCACTACCGACCTCTTCTTACGATTAGCAAGCTCCAATTTGCCGAAGTGGCCGGGCTCTCTCTTTCCCAGTTGGGAAATAAAACCGGCGTTGCTGCATGCGCGGCCGGTGACGGACAGTTTTAAAAGAATTGACACGGCCTGTTACAATCGGGGCAATGAATGGACCCTCCGCGACCCGTTAAAACCGTCATTTCGATACTGTCCGAGCAATTACATCACGTGTCAACGACCCGTTCACGACCGTGCAGCCGTCCAACTCCAATGCACGAATTCCCTTCGACGCTTTCGTCTCTCTTGCCGCGTTCCATTGCGCGTGCTTTCGTCGCTACTCGTCGCCCTTGTGTCTCTCTTTTCTCTCTTTTTTTCGGTGCTCTTTATCCTGTGCTCTCCATGTCCTCGCAGTCATTTCTTCGACAATTGCCTTTGGTTTTGTCAAACAGATTTCCTCGGATCTTTACTTTTACGAAGGGGGAGGAACTGTTGACCAGTTTCGTCCTCTTTGACGTCTAGGGTCTCCGCTATCGATTTTTTTCACGCGTGCCTTTCTCGATTCCCTTTCTTTGCCGCTTGCTCCACGGGATCGCGAGTTCCCAATCGCTCGTGGTGGTGGAGAAGTTATCACGAAAGATTTTTTTTCCGAGATTTTGTTACAAAATTTTCGTCGCCAACTTAATAATTTTTCCTTGGCCCGGCGAGTTAGGATGCGGCGATGGATTAATTAAATTTGTGGATAATTTCGAATCGTTTAAAAAATGTTAATCTCGGGAAGACAACGCGCGCCTGGAATGTAATACTGTTGTAATACTAATCGTCGCTAATTGGACGCAGTGGCGATCGAATTCTCGCGTATATATATATTAGTGAAATCGTAATATCAGAGAAGCTAACGTTCCCTCTGTTAATGCAACAGTCTCGAGCAACAAGCAGACAGTAGACAAAATTGCGCGTCAGCTCCGTGAAATTTTATCCACCCTTTTTCCGTTTCCTTCTTACAGATTGAACTTTATCGCGCATAATCAACGTATAATTTCCCACCGACATCGCAGTTTGTATTTAGCAAACTTTAATGTAAATTCAACGTAAATCTCCGCAACGTGTTACAGCTTCATTTATTCTGGATTCGCGAGAATTATCATGTTTAGGATTTCGATGAAATGGAATGTTTCGTAGCTTGTTATGAAATCCGTCTCTTTGAATGATTTTTCTCGTCGAAAGATTGTCCAAACGACGTTAAAAGGTTTCACAGTTTTAATTTAAGGTCGTTATAGAAATATTAACGATCAAAGATTGGGTGTATCATGTCGTAACTGCGAGATAGAACTGCGTGGATACGAAAATTCGAAGTTATATAAAACTGAAGTTATAAAAATTTGAAATTATCACGTCACTGTCATGCGAAAATTGATCGAAATCATAACGGGAACGAGACTAGACCGACAGAATGTGAAAACTAAAGATACGAAGGTCGATATCAAGGCTGTCATTCACAGTCGTGGAAATTGGTTGTTAAGCTGCGAACGTGCAGCATTTTTTTTTCTTTTTTTTTTTATTTTCACGAAGGTAATTTATAAAAATGGCAAGATTGGAGAGAAAAATTATTTTAACTCGTCAAATATCACACCAACAGTATCACAGTCCGCGCGCGCGTGTGGTTTTTTCCCCCGTATTTTTGGCACGTTTACGTGCGTCGCGTATTACTGCGCTCTCAAATTTTCCATAAATGCATGAAAAGTCTGCGCGGTGATTACACGGGCGATCGCGCATGCGTGAAAATGATCGAAACGTAGAATAGAGATAATCAATATTGGGAAGGATGAAATGCAACGAGGCCAGTGGAATAAAATATGCGATAATGGACGATAGATTGGAGGTGCTGGATTGGGAATTAGGTTACGCGGGCTCTCGCGCTGGCGCGAAGAAATTTTACTTAATCGAACGGGGAGAGTTTCGGTGTCAACGGCGTTAACGTATCGTTGCAATTAGCTTGACCCGTCCTTCGTCAACCATTGACGATGGCAACGATAAACGGTCCACGGAGTGTGATAATAAAACGAGGGACTTAACTGACCTAGGAGAAACGGCACTAGAATAAACTCCGTCCACGCGCGATAATCGGTGTCGTCGCTCAATTTGCCACCAGCTTCTGTTCTCCTGGTGCAGCAGTCAGTATAACAGACGAATCAATCGATCTCCCAGAGCGAGAAGTTGTGCATTTTCTGCGGGACCCTCGTACCTGTTGACTGGTGTGCACTATATTGTCCTTCCTCCGCTCAATAACACACGGCTACGTCCTCTCGCTTTCGCAATTTTACGTGGATGGTTCCTTTTGATGAAAGTTTCCGTCCTGTTGTACGAAAAGTGTCGCCTCTTTCATTTGCTCACTGTCTTCGCAGCATACTGATTTTAATAAAAACTAACGTTCCTCCGTCTTCCTCGGTTGAAATTTGGAAAGCTCTCACGAACGATTATTCCAATAGATCCTCCTTCGTCTTTAGTCTCTGAGCTCTCTCGATGATGTGTTCGATGATCTCTAAGTCATTTATCGGCACTAAGATGACCTTTTCGTGTAGATACTCGCTAAATGATTCGTCCGTCTCGCCACAAGTACATTCTCTGAACGGTGAAACATTTTTTTTTAAGTTGTCTGATAATCACACCGAGAGGCGTAGAAACATATTCGGACTTGGAACGCAATCATTCTAATGGATTGCCCTTCAATCGCTCCGACCCGATTAATAATTTCGCCGTATCATCAGACAACTTATAGGTATTTTTCAACTCCATTACTTGCCGCTCCCACGTCTCGAAACTGTGTTTGCACTCCCATGAAAATTAATTATAATTCGGCGATGGCAGTGATACTAACAGGTGGTACTCTCTGCACTGTTATTTCTCGTTCTTGATCTCGAACGCTTAATCGTCGCGTTTCTCTTAATAGCTACTCAATTCCTACACGCACACACACATACACACATATACAGAAACGTATATATATAACTTAGTGCATTAAAGGCTGAGTCTGAAAGACTCGCCACAAAACGATCTCAAGTTGTCCTAAGGCCTAATTTTCTCTACAATTTATGGCACTGGGCACTTCCCCGAATTTGCCCATCCCACATAAATTGTAGTGTATGTTAATTATATATTATACTGTATGTCAATCATATATTATACTGTATGTCAATCATATATTATACTGTATGTCAATCATATATTGTACTATATGTATTTACTGTATATTAATTATATATTGTACTGTATGTATGTACAATATGTTAATCATATATTGTACTGTATATTAATATATATATTGTAAAACTTAATTCAAGCAAACATATGTAGAATATAATAAAAACAGTGTAATGTATAAATGTAACAGATGTAACATGTAACAACATATGTAACACACAAATGAACATATGTAATTAATAAAAATAAAGACTGAACGTTCTTTCGAAACAATCATTTGTTTGCAGATAATATAATGTTAATCATATATTTTACTGTATGTTAATATATTTATAATATACATATATTGTAATGTCCAAAACTTAATTGAAGCAAACATATGTAGAATATAATAAAAACAGTGTAATGTATAAATGTAACAGATGTATAAATGTACAGATGTAACATATGTAACACATGAATAAACATATGTAATTAATGAAAATAATGACTAAACGTTCTTTCGAAACAATCATTTGTTTGCAGATAATATAACATAATAGGTAAGTATAATAGGATCCTTTGCGTTTCGAAGCGGAGGAATAAATTGTTTGCAGATAATATAACATAATAGGTAAGTATAATAGGATCCTTTGCGTTCCGAAGCGGAGGAATAAATTGTTTACAGATAGTATAACATAACGTAAGTATAATAGGATCCACTCGAACTTCGAATCATCATCGTGACGCGACTTTTCCCGAAACGGTTGATAGAAGAGAGAGAGAGGCGAAGAAGAAAAGCTGAATTGAGAAAAATTGTGGGATATATCGTTGGTAAAGACCTTGAAAGCCGACATTTGTCTCGCTAGAACAAAGAGAGTAATTTTGTCATTATCGCGTTGATCAGCAGCAATGATCTCGTTTGCAACACTAAATTAAATGACGTCGACGACCATGGTGGACGAAGCGATAATCGCTTTCTGTAAATATCACAAAAACTGGACCACGTCTGGATAATTCAATTTCCTCGTTCCAACATGTGTGTACAGCTTATGCGCAGCTCAATTTATTTTCTGTACGAAATGTTACGAACGTTTTAAACGTTTTTTAACGAACGTTCCATTTGCTGCAAGTGTTTTTTAATTTACGCTTGATACGCTCGGAGATTTAATTTCTTTCCCCCTTTTTTTTTTTCTTTCCTTTCTTTTTTTCTTTTTAATTTCTCGAAAACTCGCACGAAATAGTAAAATGAAATTCGCCACTTTATTCCCTTGTTCAATTTTGTAGCTTGAGATACTCCCTCGCATTCCCTTAAATTCATCAGCCTCGATCGATAGCCCACTCGAAAGTCTAGTTTAATTTCAATCGTTTGAACGATTTTGTTTTTTCGTTTTTTTCTGTTGTATTTTGATTCGCCAGTTGTTCATCCGATGACGTACTGCCTGTCGGCTCCAACGCAGATCAATACAGTAAGTATAAAGCTCCGTTATTTCCGCTCACTTAATCTAAACAGTGATTCCCATTAAAATTCGAGCGCCAAGTATCGAAGAGGCCGCGCGAACATAAATAAATCTCGGAGGCCTCTGTTTTCAAAATTTGTCGTTCATTTCAGTCTCGAAAATGAGAATCAGTCACGTCGTGTGTAAACGCATCGAAAAATCATCTTCGAACGATTTAATCTACGATAGCTTTCAAGAAGAAAACTTCTCTTTACACTCTACGATAGCTTTCAAGAAGATAGCTTCTCTTTACAATGATCCCTCAATATTTGCTTCTACGATACTTTTTATCTCGCCAATTGAAATACAACGCTTTCTTTCAACGCTTCATTCTCGTCGTCCAATAAAATCGCG